CACAGAAAGGGGTTGCGCTGATACGAGTGGATGAGGAACTGGATCATCTTGCGGTCCTTGATGTGCATCGTCACCTCCCGGTCGCGCTGAAGGGTGGGAAAATAGCAAGACAATCATTACAAAACTGGGTGTACACATGTAAATTGGGGAGTATTAAGGGTGCAAGCCATGTAATTGAATATGCAAAACTGAATCGAATGCCTACGTAATGTTTAAACTATGTAAAATAAAAGAATATATCTTAGAATTGTTATTAGTCATAAACCTTATAAATCTAGCATACATTAATAACTATAAAATGTATTTGTAAATAAAACTGGTTGTATATATCTAAATTGGAGAGTATTAAGGGTGAAAGCACTGTAATAAAATATGCAAAACTATCGTATGCTTAAATAGTTTTTAAAATACTTTAAATTCTTTCAATGAAAGTATAATACAATGGAAGTATATAATAATAATATACAGCACTATCAGTATTTATGAACATACGGACAAAATAAGGTACTCAATAAACTCATAGCTAATGTAATATATAACCAATCAACTAAAACTACCCAATTGGATAAAAGCGAAATGTACATATACAAATATAACTCACTCCCAGCAAGGACTCCTCCACCATCTCATCGTAACTGAGGAAGTCCGATTCGGGACCGAGGCCACTGTGGTTGGCGCCGTCGAAGCCGCTGTAGTCCATGTACTCTCCGGAATTGTCGTCCATGTAGCTGTTGTCCGGATCGCCGTAGTCGTCGAACGAGGAGTCGCCGTCGCCGACGATGAGTGCCTCGCTGGAGATGTCCATTTGGCGCTGCTTTGTGACCTTCTTGCGCGGCCGTGGCGCGGAGCTGACCACCGGGACATCGCTCTCGGGCAGTATGGTCTCGTCCTCATCATCGCCGGCATCGGAATCGGGCAGCCGATGGTCGTCGTCATCCTCGTCACCGGCCATATCATCTTCGCTGCAGGGCAGCTCCTGCAGCTCTTGTTTGATGACCATCTGGGGCTCCAGCAGCGCCGTGTCCGCGTCCGTTAAGTCTTCGATCTCGTGGAAGTTGGGCAGGTCGCCGTTGCGACTGGACAGGGACATCGGCTCGCCGAGACTGAAGCCCGAACGCGAAACGGAGGCGGGATTCGCCACGGACTGGTCGCCCAGGTGCACCGTCTGCATGTGGCCGATGAATGAGTCGAAGTATAGGAACTTCTCGCTGCAGAAGATGCATCGCAGGGCGAAGTACTGGAAGTCCTCCGTGGCCGTAACCACTCCGCAGTCCTTGGTGCAGTGACGGAAAATCTCCTCATCGTTGGTACGTGGATACGCCAGGACACTCATCGCGCCGCCTGCGGGTCCTCGTCCTGTCCGATGCGCGCTAGCGATTCAATTGGGGCTCTCAGTACGCTGCGCTGCCGTTGGCGCACTCGAATATCCTGCTTTATTTTACTTTACTCCGATTTTGCCAATAAAATTGCTGTTTTTTTGGTGTTAGTGCTAGAGATGGGGTTTGGCCGCACAGTTGCTTTATGTTTGCTAATCAGCATCGTCTCTAGCTAAGCTATCGATAAATTGTGCTATGTATTTGGATTTATTAGATTTATTTTGAATAGTTAGACAGTAATAATTATGAATTCGAAAATCATTTAATAAAAACAAAATGTTGAACAAATTTTAAGTAACGAAAAATAAGCCTCGAACGGAAAACAAATAATATAACTTTGTTATTAATATCTTACATATCTTTGGCTATTGATTGCTATTTGATTGCTATATCAATATATTTTATTGTTTTTTATTTTATAAAAAATTATATTAACTTATTAAAACATATTAAGCCAATATTATATGGCTTTTCGCAACAATCCTCCAAAGCTATAATATTCCGAATAGTAACGAATGTCATCAAAAACAATTGGCCGGGGAGCTTTTATCGATACTATCGATAGAGCTTTTGATGTTTTTAGGTCTCTACTTGTTTTTGCCTGGTCACACTTGTCCATTGGTTTCTTCGATTCACAGCGTGATTCGTTTGGTGCCGATTTCTTGCTTTAATTCACTGACTAAAGGAAATCTTTGTTTAATTGCGTGACGCAATGGCTTCGATTAGCTTGCTGAACCCCAAGGCCGAGTTCGCCCGCGCCGCCCAGGCTCTGGCCATCAATATCAGTGCCGCCAAGGGATTGCAGGATGTGATGCGCACCAATTTGGGCCCCAAGGGCACAGTGAAGATGTAAGTAACCGGACATTGCCTCTAATATCCTTTGTTTTAAGTTGTGACAGCAGTTTTAGTCAAAACTTGAGTTTATATGGCACAAAACATACATTTTGGCCACAGCTGCGGCAACCGCAAGTTTGAGGTTAGAGCGAAACTAGCGGCATGCGTCATCGCAAGAAAGAGAGAGAGAGAGAGTCAATGATTGCGACTTGAAACCAAAAAGCTATAAAATTAGGTGTTTTTAATCATTTTAAACGTTTGCCTTAAATCATAGTGCTCTTGCCAGGCTTTGTTTTAGTGAGAAAATGCATTAAAAATGCAAATTCATCCCTGTGCGATTCAGAAAGTGAGACAGAAAAAGGCGTGACTCTCACGCGCTGTGTGAAATACGCATACTAATTCCAGAAACTTCGCAGGTTGGTTTCCGGCGCCGGCGACATCAAGATCACCAAGGACGGCAATGTGCTGCTCCACGAGATGCAGATCCAGCACCCCACTGCCTCCATGATTGCCAGGGCCAGCACTGCCCAGGATGATTCCACGGGCGATGGAACCACCACCACTGTGATGCTGATTGGCGAGCTGCTGAAGCAGGCGGACATCTATCTGTCGGAGGGACTGCATCCGCGCATCATGACCGAGGGATTCGAGAAGGCCCGCGACAAGGCCTTGGAGGTGCTCGACAAGGTCAAGGTGCCCGTGGAGATCAACAAGAAGAGCCTCGTCGAGGTGGCCAACACCAGTTTGAAGACCAAGGTGCATCCCGCCCTGGCCGATCTGCTGACCGATGTCTGCGTCGATGCCGTACTGACCATTGCCAGTGCCGACAAGACCAAGCCCGTCGACCTGCACATGGTGGAGCTGATGGAGATGCAGCACAAGACCGACACCGATACTCAGTTGGTTCGTGGCCTGGTCATGGATCACGGTGCCCGCCATCCGGACATGCCCAAGCGCCTGGAGAACGCCTACATTCTCACGGCCAATGTCTCGTTGGAGTACGAGAAGGCCGAGGTCAACTCGGGCTTCTTCTACAAGACCGCCGAGGAGCGTGAGGCCTTTGTGCGCGCCGAGCGGGAGTTCATCGACCAGCGTGTGAAGAAGGTGATCGAGCTGAAGCGCTCCGTGTGCGATGGCACCGACAAGACCTTCGTTCTGATCAACCAGAAGGGCATCGATCCCATCTCCCTGGACGCTCTGGCCAAGGAGGGCATTCTGGCCCTGCGTCGCGCCAAACGGCGTAACATGGAGCGTCTGGCGTTGGCCTGCGGTGGCACTGCCATGAACTCCTTCGACGATCTGCAGGAGGAGCACTTGGGCTACGCTGGCGTGGTCTACGAGCATGTGCTGGGCGAGAACAAGTACACCTTCGTGGAGGACTGCAAGAATCCGCTGTCGGTCACGATCCTGATCAAGGGTCCCAACAAGCACACGATCACCCAGATCAAGGATGCCATTAGGGACGGTCTGCGGGCCATCAACAACACCATTGCCGATAAGGCCCTGGTGCCCGGAGCTGGCGCCTTCGAGGTGCGCGCCTACAACGAGCTGGTGGCCTTCAAGGACACCATCAAGGGCAAGTCCCGCCTGGCTGTGCAGGCCTTCGCCGATGCCCTGCTGGTCATCCCCAAGACGCTGGCCGTGAACAGCGGCTACGATGCCCAGGACACAATCGTCAAGCTGACGGTGGAGGATCGCCTGAACCCCGAACTGGTCGGCCTGGACCTGGCCACCGGCGAGCCCATGAAGCCCGTGGATCTGGGCGTCTACGACAACTACATTGTGAAGAAGCAGATCCTCAACTCCTGCTCGATCATCGCCAGCAACCTGCTGCTCGTCGACGAGGTGATGCGTGCGGGCATGACGAGCCTCAAGGGCTAGTCCCTTCGTCCCTCCATCCGATTCATTCTCGTTAACCAAGTTAATGCACCGCCTGCTCTTCAACCCGCGTCTCCCACAACAACACCACAACCAAAATATATACCTTCATAACTTGAAAATACACGAACTTGGAACGGTTGCGACTGCAAGTATTCACAAAGAAATCTAAAACCATACGCAGCACTATACTTATCGCTAATGTATTTCTCTATTTTTATTACGACTAATGTTTACTTACTACAAACCATTGGTTTAAAAATAAAAACGTAAATCGAAAACTAATTGAAGTGTATTTTGTTGAAATTATTTACCTAAAACTTGATACATATTTTGGGTAGGAAATTTCTATTTCATTGAATTCGCTATTGGAATTACTTCCACAATAATTAAGCTTATTTTAGCAACTTTTAAAATAAGAATTTTGAAATAAAAGTTTTGTTTTACATTTCTTTTTGGCCCAAGATATCAACGTAAAAAAACATTATCTTAAACGACTTACAGTCTAATGAGATTCGGTACAATGCGTGATGCAATATTTGACTACGATATTTCAGATATAATTTTTTAATGTACACTCAAATTCTATTTTAGTTACTAAAATAAAAAAAAAAGCACACGTGTTTCACATCTCGCCATTCCTCCTTCCTTCACAAACAAATTTCGAAATTTGAAATAAAGGGAATACCCCAAGTATATTTTTGACATGGGATGGTATATTTAAGCAGACCACTTTCGGTCACATTAATGTTGCAGTCAACAGTTTGTCGCTCAACATTTCTGTCATGAAAAAGACGATTTAACATTTCTGTTAAGAAAACGTTGATGAGAGAGGAGAGAGTAAGAGAGTCATTTGTAGTGGTGGAAACATCTATGTTGCCCCGCCAAACATCGATACCCGATGTTTTTACAATATTGATGTTGGCATCGAGGTTTCCCCACCTCTAATTGTCGCTTTCGCCGAAACTTAAAGGCTGAGTGGATTTCTGTAAATAAGTGCATTTTCTGAAGATGATTTCGGTAACTTGTGTGGCCCCTGTGAATATAGCTCTAATAAAATATTGTAAGTAATTTATCCCGCAAAGGCTATAATTTTTAAGCTTATTTGTTATAGGGGGAAAGCGTCACGAAGAACTAATACTGCCCATTAATGACTCTATTAGCATGACTCTTAGCACTGATGAGGTAAATATTCCAAAACTCGGGTAAACAGCTCGAAACTCTTTATTTCTGTGAATTAGCATATGGATGATATAAAATGTTATGTCATGTACTTTTAATAAACCTGAAACTAAAACCCGTTCCAATTTACACGCGAAAGTAAATAGAACAAGCCTTTATTCAAAAACTTTCTATTTTGAGAATTTCACTTTTCCACACATTTTCTTTGGCTGAGTTTTTCTGTTTGTTTAACCAACAACTACAACTTGTTGGATTCCATTTCTGATGCCAAATTAATAAAAAAAGTCTTGAAATTTGTAATACCAAGTAAACAATTCTTTGGAATATTCTCTAGAAAATGTGAATTAAAGTTTAAATTGAATTGTTGAACAAATGTTTGTTTACCATTTCGAGATGGTAATATTTTTTAATATAAATTAATATGCTTGTTTGCTTCTCCAAGTAATATCTAAAAACATTTGCATTGTGCATTTCTGTATAAAAAAAATATGTTTTTAGAAAATTATAGACAACTTGAGTGGATTATTCAATTCAAATGAATAAGATTTTACGTGCATTGTCAGACTTTAATGTATTTAAATATATTTTCTTACGCACTGTATTTAAATATATTTCTTTATGCACTTTATCAAGTTGTGCGCCAAGACCACAGTTACCGCTTCGGAAACCTTCGAGAGGAATCGAATGTGGTTAAATGGAGAGGAGGTCCCCTTCGAGGAGGGTTCACGTCTGACCCGCTGCTTAAAAGAAGGTGAGTGTGCATTCATACACAATACCGTCATTCCCTCATTTGTGATACTTTCAGTTCATCGACTGGCCCTGATCAATGGCTCCCAGAAAGTGTCGCCATCGTGGAAAGTGCACATAGCATCGGTTAACAACTTTCCCACCGCCGCTGGACTGGCATCCAGTGCAGCTGGCTATGCCTGCCTCGTGTACTCGCTGGCCCGTCTGTACGACATCCCGCTGGACGAGGAGCTGACCACGGTGGCCCGGCAGGGCAGTGGATCGGCATGTCGCAGCCTATATGGCGGATTTGTCCAGTGGCACCGTGGCGAGCTCACCAATGGCAGTGATTCGGTGGCCAAACCAATTGCGTCGTCAAAGCACTGGCCCAACATGCATGTACTCATTTTGGTCGTCAATGATGAACGGAAAAAGACTGCCTCGACCAAGGGAATGCAACAAAGTGTGAACACGTCGCAACTAATCCGGCACCGGGCGGATAAAGTCGTTCCGGAGAGGATTGCGCAATTGACGGAAGCAATTGAAAGTCGCGACTTTCAAACATTTGCAGAGATCACAATGAAGGACTCAAATCAGTTTCATGCCATCGCACTGGACACTTATCCGCCATGCGTGTATATGAACGATGTGTCCCACAAGATTGCATCTTTTGTACACGAATACAACGAGATAATGGGAAGTTTGCATGCTGCTTACACTTTTGATGCTGGACCAAATGCTTGTCTATACGTTCTGGAGGAAAATGTTCCCGAACTGTTGAATGCCGTTCAAAGGGTGTTCCCAAGTGATTCTGACGACAGTGCAACGTACTTACGAGGTCTTTCCGTCCCAAAAGCTGACAATATTCATCGTATTGGGGATGCTGCGAAAACTAAAATCGATTCATTAGATGTTAGTGCAAGAAACGCTTTTAGATATATAATTCACACAAAAGTCGGTGAAGGACCAAGAGAATTAAACGATGAGAATAGTTTACTGATTAATGGCTTGCCATTGGACAACTGATGGTAATTTTAAAACACACTCTTTTCCGAAACTTCAATTTCCATTTAAAATGCTAAACAATTATTTTGAAATCACATATTTTTAATAAATTTAATTATGATATCAGGTGCTAAATTATAGATATCAAAGAGGATTATTTATGGGACTATTTTTTTAGCAGAAAACCACTTATTGCGCGATTTGATGGCCAAAACTCAACCTTAAAGCGTATTCTTCAAATACTCCAAAAAGGTTTGCGGGTTTTTTTTGTTACTCACATCGCAACCATTTTCATATATAAAATTATTTATGTTATTTATATAAGAATCCGTTGAAGAAAAAATGATAAAATAAATTTTATCTTGAAACTTACGTTAAGGTTTTTAAATATCAAAAAAGAAGTTTGTCATGAGGGCTGTACAATTTCGTGATTTGGCTTGCAAATAGGTAAGTAAATTTGTAGTACTCATGTTTAGTTTTAGAAAGTCAAAATTAGATAGTGAGTGTTATTTCGTTAACTTAAAAAAAACGTATATTGTTTTTAACTAAAATTCGGTTTTCCACAAAATTTCTACATTGTATTGTAGCTCAAATATTTCAAACCATTTTTCTTTTGTGATTTTTGGAATGTGATCGTTTGAATGCAACTTTGAAGAACATTTGTTTTTGGAGCAACATTTTACATGACAAAGGAGAAAATTAAAAGCTACAGCTTGACAATAGATGTCTGTTTTACGTTTTAAAATTTGTTTATTTATGCACATAAACAAAGCTTTGTGCAAAGAAAACAATAGCGGTTTAGTACCATAGAATGGGGTTGATGTAGTCAAAAATTATTTACAACGCATCAAAAGATTGACGCCTCCTTACTACTCACTTTGTATCAGCCGACCTTTGTATGAATATAATTAACAATCTGGGAAAAATTTGCTAAAGCAGTTACTCCCTCCCTATAAATTTAAGATAACATATATATTTTTGATTTTCTGCACGGATTTGTTCCGCAAGGTTTCTCTGATTTTACCCAAATTTCTTGATTTATGGAGCAAACTGCTGAGAATCAAACAACTTTTTCAACATTCTACGTTTTCTTTGCCTTGCTAAGAAAATATTTATTATTCTTTTTTTTTTTTTTGTTTGATATGATATATGGCAGACTTCAGTTTAAAGTTTACATTTTAAGTGATCGAAGCACTGCTATTTATTTTTATACAATGTATATGTAGTAGATATTAGATACGATGTAATCCATTTTTGCACAAATTACGTGAATTATGTATAAATAAGCAACAAATGAAGAGCGTAACAATTAGTAAATAAATCTTTGCCGTTGCACTGAGTTTATACTCCTTATTAAATAATTAAAAATAAGTACATTTTATGGTCATGGTAATATAATGGTTAACATATTTATAAGGTAAGATTGTGGTTTCATGGGTTGGCATAAAATGAAAAACATCTCATGTAAAACCCTAAGGGTACATAATCAAAAATTAATTTTTACACAACGATTATTTTCAGATTTCCTAATTTTCATTTTAATATTATCTACCGACGAATGCAAAAAATAAGCGAGAACTCTTTAAACTCATTATCTAATGATGAGGCTTTAAATGTTCCACATAGTTCTCCGGAATGAGTCCTGTTTTACCATTTAGGGTACCTTGCAGCCAGCCAGGTTCGTGGGAGTACCGAACTAAAAGAATATAAATGAATCACATGTTAATAATCTGACATTGCATTTTTCCACTTTTACGAAACGACTTTTGAAATGACTTTGGATTATTTTTATAACAACCTTTAATATTGGATTTCGTAATCACGCTCTTCAGGTGTAAGATTATATATTTAAAAATATATGTGTAGATATACAAAATGCACCTATTCTCTTTAGATTATATTAAATATTAACTATGTTATTTCAGGTGTGGGATCATATTTTAGTTCCTAGCGCTATAAAAATATGTCCAAAATTTAGAAAAAAAAAGTAACTAGATAAAAAATAGTCTTTCATTAAGGTTTACGTTTTTTATTTGAAGTTTAAGCTAAAACCAGTTACTTAAACTCAAAAAAAAAAACAAAATGATCTAAAAGAGTTTTCAAAATTTTGAAAATGTAAAATACAAAATTGGTTTAGCCCCTACATTCCAAGAAAAATAACTTTAAAAACCTTTAAAATAAGCCTAGGTAATGGTTTATATATTTCGCAATGAAATGAATGTCTGTAAAATGTAAATATAATATTTTGTAAGCAAATGTGTATAGTTACACATTAATGACCATAAATCATTGACTCTCTTATTTATTGCTGCAAGACAGCATTTTAAGCTTCTATTGCTGATTGCACTTACCATTGGTTATTATTTGGTTAGGCTCGAATGAAAGTTCACCTTCACTTTCTCCCATGCAAGCATAAAGTGTGCGCACACGACTGCAAACGTAAAAAAAGAGAAATCAAAATAAGATTTATAAGAAAGAAGAATTAAAAGTGATTCTTTAAAATGTCGACTTACGCTGTGCCCGTTGACAAATCGCGTTTTATTTGGTTGATGTCACGATTGCGATGCATTTTACTAGGCGGATAGTCAGAGCTTTCGTTGGCGGAGCCGCCACAACTGAGACTAACTGAGGGCAACGTGGTTGCCGTGACGACTTCGTCGCAGGTGGGATTCAGAAGGGGCGACAGCGACGAGTTCTGCGACGCTATCAGTGCGTATTCATTGGAGTTGCGAGTGTTCAGGTGCTGAGTCACATTCCCACTGCTGTTGGCCACAATGGAGCTGCTGCCCAGGCCGTTGTTGGAGGAGAGTGAATCACATACGCTGTCGTTGGAGCTCGACGTCGAGGTGGGCATCAGGGGCGAATAGTGCTTTGTCTGGCCGTACGAGTGCAGTCCGCGCTGCACCGGCGGATGCTGCTGCGGCCCACTGGCTCCGCTGCCCAGAAATCTCTCCTTTCGCATCGCAGTATTTGGCGGGGAAACGTTACTTAGACTAATACGATTGCTTGAGGTAGCACCACCACCACCAGCACCACCACCAGCACCACCAACGCCAGAGGTGTTCGTGTATATGTGATTGCTGGAACCGGACTGCGATTGCGATTGCGCCACCGGAGTGGCCGTGGCGGTCATCAGGTACTCCGGATGCCGAAAATTGCTCGTACTGCTCACGGGTACGGCGTGATGCGACGTTACGCCGCCATTGTTGGCACTTATGATCCCGTAGTCGGGCGCCACATCGACATCGGTGCAGGAGCTGGGAACGTAGCGTCGGCTGCTGGCCTCGTTCTTCGATATGGTGTGTAGGTTATTGATGCTGCCAATTGTCGGCGACAGTATGCCGTTCAGCATGTGCATCGGCGGCGACAGGGATATGCAGCCAGCACCACCACCAGCACCACCACCACCAGCCGAGCCACTATTGATTACGGTCGATCCACCGCTCGTCATGCCCAGCACATAGTTGTCGCCATTGGGAATATTTTGCAGGCTGGATGACATTGTGGGCTCTGTGCAATTGGATTTGTTCACCACCCGGTAGATTTTCTGCTGCGTTAAGAACATGGGATTGCCGGCCGTATTGCTGCTACCCATGGCACCCGTGGAAGCAGCCTTTCCTATTTGAGATGCCCGTGGCATCCGAGTCGGTGGACTGCTGCGACTGGGGTACATGATACTTGGCGTTTTCGTGGCCTCCGGTGGTCCCTTCACATCGGCGCTGGGCTTGTTCTTGAATATCCTTTCGTAGTTATCAATCAGGATGTTGATGACAATGTTGTTAAACTTGATGTCCAATATGGCGGCAACTGATTCTTCGCGCGGGCGCAACAGAGTTGGTCCGAAAACCACTCCAAGATTAAATACTGACATTTTGTTCTTTTCGTACTTGCGTGAAACGCTAAAAAAAAATATTGAAACATACGTAAAAATTGTTATTTTATATAGTAAAAAATATTATTGAAAACTAAATCGTGGCAATCAGCTTTAAAGTTATATATTGTCGTTAAAAGAAATGCCATTATTCTGTTTTCATTTACACTCTCATTGTTGTAAATTCTAAAAGGTTAATAAAAAATATGAATTAATATATAATGCAATAAAAAATTTGTTCAAATAATTTATTGGAAACTAAATTATCTGACAATTAGCTTTAGCTTGTCTTTAAAATAAATGTAAATATAAATTTTGTTCTATACTCTCAATCTTGTAAATTCTAAAAGTTAAAATTTTGTATAAGAGTTGCTTTAAAAAATTGGTACATAAAAACGTCTCGCAAAATACGTAGATTTTAATTTAACAAAAAATGCTTACTGAAACACGAAACAAACAAAGAAATTAAACGCTACATAAATTATATATATACAATAGATAAACGATAGTATTGTATAAATATGTGAATCCCTTTTTCACTTCAACTAATTTATTATATCTAGATAACTACTTACTCTGTTAAATGACAAATAACCATATCTAGCATCTGGAAATTAGGCTGTGGTAATTTGTAGACCAGCTTGTGGACCTCATTCACGCGTTGATTAAGGGTTTCTTGCTCTGCGAAGGTTTATTTTAAATGATGTGGAACAATGATTGGGCAATTCGCGAGGCTTACTTGCTGCTTCAATAAAGTCACTGTGGTACTGATACGTCATTAGGGGCTCATTAAGATTCCGGAGATACATTTTGAGGGCACTCGCAATGGTGTTGCTTTCCATTAAATCGCGGTACTTGTCGTCGACAAACACATCGTCCGTTTCCTTTTGATTCAGACCCAGTGCCAACAGCTTGCTGATTTTGGTTCCAACGCCACTCTTTCGATAGATGCCTTCATCCTCCAGACCACGGATTTCCAATACCTTGATGCACTTGCGAATGAACGTGAATCCGGGTTCATCCAGATGATATGCCTCGCTGACTTTGATTTTACCGGGAGCCAAGTAAGTCTGTGTACAGAAAGATAATATAGGAATATTATATATAATGCTTAAGGTTTTGTTATATGTTTGGAAGAGATTTCGGTAGCAAGCCGCCTATTAATTTTTAATTACTTATAATGCTATATATGAAGTAATGTAACATATTTTGATGAAATCGGTATGTAATTATGCGGAAATTTAGGTTGGAGCTACTGCTGTCAAATCTTG